CCCCCCCCCCCCCCCACCCCCCACAACAGTCTACAAGCCCTGGACCTCCAACCCCCGCTTCCCACACACTTACCTGCATCCAGCTGCTGGGGCTGCTCCCACGACCCTGCCTGGCTGTATGCCGGCCACGTGCACGCACAGATTCACGTGCACCTGCTGCCTCCAATCACCTCAAGTAGCTCCTTGCAGGCTGGAAGGCTGCCAGCCTGCAAGGAGAAACCCATTCTTTCCCATTTGTTTCTGGGACTTCTTTATGATCCTTTCAAATATTCTTGCAACCCACTTTGGGGTTGTGACCCGCAGGTTGAGAAACACTGGACTAGATTACTTTTGGGGTCCCTCCCAACCCTATTATTCTCTTATTCTTCTATCAAAGTGATTAATAGCATGCACCTGAAAATAAAGGAGGAATACCAAATTCTCTGCTGACTTGTATCCCATGCAAGTCCTTTAGGGTGTGTGTGGTTTAGTCAGCATAGAATTTACCTCATCCATTACCAACTGCTTATTATGGTACTTAAGTCCTGCTGCATATTTTTATCCATTCCTGTTCTTTTTAAACACTGTTTAAACTCTGCAGGTGAGGACACAGAATTTTCAGGTTCCCATCTACCTTAAATAACAGTGCAACTGAAAACCTCTGTATTTCAAGAAAATTCAACGTTAAGATCAAATTTTAAGTGCAACTTTCTTCCTATATATAATATACAATATATACACATTATTAAAGATCTACTGAGGGATGAGCTGTGCATGACTTGGATATATGCTACAGGTGATTTATTTATGAATTCATAAATTTAATTTTAAGGACAGAGAGACCTTTATGATCATTCAGTTTAACCTCTTCCATAATACAGACTTTATGCATTGGCTTCATTCAGTGAATTCTTGTATCTAGTCAGAATGCTTGTGGCTGGGCTAGGGAGAAATATTTTTGGGAAGGACATTTTATTTTAAAGCCCCATATCATGCCCCCAACCCCTAGGAACCAAAAAGTGTGGCTCCAAGTGCTCTTCCTTCCCTACCTGCACCCCAAGTCAGGTGAGGACACTGCAGACTTCAATCACTTGCATGCTATTAAAGTTTTTTGAACTCATGTTCAAGAAACAACAGAAAGCAGAGAAGTGACAGCGCTCCCAGCCCCAGGTCACCTGCCCCTGAGAGTTCTAAAGCATAGGTGCAAACATTTCTCTTGGATTCAGGTGCTCACTCCCATCCCCTGGTGTCAGAGCTGCAGCACTTAACACTGTTCTGAACCCGTTTTGAAATTATGACATTTTGGAATGGTTCAGTTGTTAAGTCTGTCCACACCCATAGAATGTGTGTCTTGGGGATAGAGCCACTGTGTAAGGAATACGGAGGCTTTTTCATAGGTTTCATAGACGTTAGGGCTGGGAGGGACCTCACAAGATCATTGGGTCCAGCCCTCTGCTCAAACATTTCTTAAAGGTATCCAGAGTAGGTGCATGCACCACTTCTGAGGAGAGTCTATTTCAGACTGTGGGGACTTGAATGGTAAAAGAAGTTTTTCCTTATGTCAAGTCTAAAACTGTTTTCCAGCAGTTTGTGACCATTAGACCTTGTCTTCTCTTGGGGTGCCCTGGTGAACCGATGTTCTCCCAGTTCCTGATACACACCCCTTATATACTGATAGGTTGCCACCAAGTCAGCCCTGAGCCTTTGCTTCTTCCAGCTGAATAGTCCTATACCTCTTAGCCTATTTTAATGAGCATTAACTAAATAGCACATTTTTAACTATGCTTTAATGCACATAAAAATAAGCTAATGTGCATTGAAGTGCATGTGTAGACATGCGCAGTAAGAGCTTCAGATCCTTGTTCAAAATGTTCATTGTCAGAAACTTTAAGCCTGACTCTGACCTTTTACCAATGCAAATCAGAAGTAACTCCTGGATTCAGTGGAGTGAATAAGAGACAAATTCAGCCCTGTTGCTTTTTGTTTAAGCATGTTTGGTACAACAGGAGAGATCATCCACAGTTCTAAGTGCCCTCCATATCAAACAAACTGGGTGAAGCCACAGGGACAGCCTTGGCACCTAATTTGCTCACTTCAGTCGAGTAAAATTGGATCCAAAATACTGCTGGACATCTGATTGTGAATATATTCAGATTAACCAGAGATCTTTTATGAAAAGTCTGTTTGGATCCTTTAAAGAAAATTTGCCATCTGTAATGAAGCAACAGCAGTTATTGCAGTGCCTAGGTACAACAGTCAATCAATCATTAAATTTCACTTCTTTGGGCATTTGTACACATGCATGTGCCAGAGCACTGGGTACTTTTAAAAGGTCCTGGCACTGTGG